TTTATTATGTAATTTGAATCTTAATTAAGGCAATACCACCAATCTGCATGTGATTTTTAGTGTGTATAGTGTATTTCGAGTAATTCTGGGGAATTCCTCGTTTCATGCAGTTGCCATCAGTTTTTGGCACGCCAGGTCTTATCTTATCAACTCCCTGTTGATATTGGCCCGCAGGGAGAAGACTTGGGAAGAGACAAAAATGTGATAAATGGTTTCGCCGTGTTTGGGAAATGAAAGTAGCGATGTCCCCTCGGATAAGCAATCAACATCAAGTTGCAAAGAGCAAATTGAATCTGACAAACACACACACACAAAAGCTTCTTTTGAAGAGATGGAGAAAAAGATTTGCACATTCTGTGAATGGGCAACCGAAGTTGCCGCCTTTTACGATAAATTACTGCTCAATAAACTGACTTTGCTTGATTTTTCTTTTATCAAACGGAGCAACCAAGAGTGCTGATAAATTACTTTGATTTCTTGTTAATGATTTATAGTTTGCTTTGCAAATCACTCTGAGTACCTTTTTCTGGCGTGGGTTATTAAAAAGAAGTAAATGCCGTTAGTTAAATATAAGTTGAGCTTTGGACCCGTTCCATTGAAAATCTGTATTAAATTTGACTAGTGTCCACTTCGGCAGGTAAATAATTTAATGGGCTTCTTTTTACAGCATTTCCACAATGATTTGGTGTAATTAGATTTGTGCAGTGGCAGATGATTGTGTGCTTTTTCGTAGTGTCGACTGTGATATTAAGAAAGAGGTTTGGCCACGTCCGGATAAAGGTTGCGGGATGCCCTATCCTGAGGAATATTGGAGGTCTTATTACAACACACAAAGAAAAGCAAAATTGCTATTTTCCGTGTCATCGTTGGAGGCGACTGAGGAACTCAGAGTTTTGATAAAAACAAATTGCCAAAATGTTACAGTACATATACTTCACCAACCATATTGAAACGATTCAAACGAACGTTGAACTTGCATATCGCAAGTGCGTTTGAGAAACTCACATTTTCAAGAAAAAAAAGTCATTCTAATCATTGTGTAAAATGGATCTATCTATATGAAGACACGCTCAAGTAGTCTAGGTGGAACTTTTGGACCCCCGTTGAGGTGGTATTTGGGTGGGAGTTTCGACAGTTCTACATAAACTCGTTCATGTTAAGAAACTCACCTCTTGCATCTACATATGCAAAAAGCGGCCTTATAAACACTAATACTACTGTCACAAATGAATGTTTGTAACATTACCTTAACTGTAATGATGATAATTGAAGTTGGAAATCTTATCTTCTTCTCCTGGAGTTGGTTATTGAATAATCATTACAAGGTGTTTTCATGTTCATGTTAATAACCATGATGGAGTGTTGGATAACAGAAATATTAGCAAGCCTGTTTCATACGAATTTAAAAAAAAAACGATGGTTTATATTTTTTCAAACTTTTCTTTTTCATGAAGATGTGACTTCGATGTCGGAAACAACTCCCGCATACAAAAAAAATAACAGTCATCTGACATTGCTTGTCTGTCAAACGGCAATCTACAAACGTATACCCGATCCTTTGAAGGTTTGAAATGTCTTTGGTGCTTTTAGGCGTCTCAAGTTTCAATGCTGTCATGTTCTCGATTGTCGTGTACGCATCGCTGGACGGCCAAAACCCGCGCTTTATTGGTATGTCTGTGAACAGTTCATGTTGATGTAAGGCAATTAATCACATATCCATTTGATGGATGGGTGTTTTCTTTGTGCTTCGTTCGTTACTAAGAAAGACGAGGTTCCTAAATTAACTCAAACGTGACAAGGCAAGACAGTGGCAAACACTCGCGGGAGATGGCTTATTATTTTCTGTTAGCTCTAAACATGCATCGCCGCATAATGTCGCTACAGTAACGTGTCAGTCACTCGGTATTGCCATCAAATATGGAATCTTATTGTGGTTTCCACTTACCACTTACGGTTTAGAAGCTAAATGAATCAAGCATAGCCTTTGAATTTGCGGTTCCATATCCAATCTTTTCCTCCTTCCAGTGAGAATCAAGCCTTTTCTTGAATGCTGCTACAGTTTTGGTGTTCACTACTGCTTGTGGAAAGGAATTCCATATGTTAATCACTCTTAGGGCGAGGAGGTACTGCCTACAACCAATGTTGTTCTGCAGGGATGACTTGAGAAGTTAAAGAAAGTGACCTATTGTACTGGTGCTTTACATCTGCTACATGTATCTGTTTCATTAATTTCTTTCCTCTCAATTTTTGCTAGCCCCAGAGGGCCGGCCTAGTGCCCTATTTCTACCTTTCTGGCTGAGTGACTGATTGATTGATTGTCTTTTTGTGACTGAAATTGGTTGTAGACCGGTGAAGAAAACCGGGTAGTACTATCGTATAGGATTACCCCCTAACGTCAATAAAGGGCTAAATCGGCCCATCGTGTAGACCAGATGCATGAACAGCCTTTCAACGAACGGCTATTGTGAATAAATTGAATAGCATTGTGTGTACTCTTGGACCAACTTACACGTACATATACGATAGCACTGCCCGGCTTACAAGTGACAGTCAGTGAGTTAGTCAATCAATCAGTGAGGTACGGGCAAATAGGACACTAGACTGGCTCTCTGGGACCAGTAAAAAAAAAACCAATACCATGTACCTCGTAGCGACGTTGCTCTCTCAGTTTCAGCTCACGCAGTCCACGGTAGAGGGAGCCACTTAGCGCATCCTGCGTGTAAAACAAACACCAACAATGCGACGAAGGCATTTTGAGTGAGATGCCTCCCACCTGCCCAAATATTACTAATAGACGAGAGACGACTCCATCCCAAGGATTTAAGAGCTTCTTCCAAAGTGTATGTATCTTTTTCATTTTGGCTTGTTGCCAACTGATTGATGGGTAACAGTGACTTCACCGTTGCGTGTCCCCAAACGAGGAAAGTGATTGCGAAATTGGGGGAGTAAGTGCAGGCATACACCCGATTGGATTTCGGTTTGACGAGTGATGTTTGAAACGAAGCGAGGTTTTTTTGATAAGTGGTCGCTGCACGGTGATGCAGCTATGATATATCCAGTGTCTTCTCCTTTATCCCTTTTGTCGTCAGTCAGATGCTGCCTACTCACATGAGCGTAACGGCCGTCTCATCAGAGACACATACAGTTTGTAAATAAACGGATAATGTTTCTGACTTCATAGTCCATCATTATTGTTTTTTGTCTTGTGAATTTTGTTTGATCTCGTGGCTGACATTTAATTTGTTTTCCTAACCCAACAGCATCTCATTTCCCTTCATAAACATTCTAGACGGACCTAAAGATGTTGCTGACATTTAGTTTATTTTCCAAACTCAAATTACTCTTTACAAACATTCTTAACTCTTTCCTTTAACATGGCGCATACATGTTTGTTTGCATATCGTTGAAAGACGGAATCCATGTGGTACCCCGGTTTGGTAGGCCGAGTATCACCCGTTGTCCAACGCAGCCTTCTCCGTAACCAACGTCTGATATATCTGAGCAATGCACATTTAATGCAACTGCGTACACCATTGCACACACCACCACCAAAATTGGTTAAAGTGGTCAGAAATTTGCCTCACATCGCACCACAGAGCATCTAGAATCCAAACATTTTTGGGGGCCCTTAAGCGTGCCCTGAACCATTTGCCGTAATATTTTGGACCCACTTTTTGGAGGACCAACATTTCTTTTGGCCCCCCCCCCCCCAAAAAAAAAAAATATGCTCTGGATCCGCCCTTGAACATTTTGCGAGTTCAGGGACCAGCTCTACTAGGATTGCCTTGTAATTATGATGTACCATTTTCAAACAGTTTTCAACAGAAACCAGTGTCTAAACAAACCTGCATGTCAGGTTTAAGATCTTCCTCAAATCTCGTTTGCGATCGTGACACCAATTAGCCACGGCAAGTCTCTTTGCCGCCCACAACACGTACAGGCCATCACGAATTGAAACAACGTTGATCGATGCTAGCAGATTGGTGTTCGTGTCTCGCCCACTTCTGTATACATTTCCAATTACACGCGGCTTGTTCACGGTCATCGTAGAATTTCCCGCGTGCACTTTTCTTCGAGCACCCCCTTGATTAACAATTACCATCATTCTTGCTTCTTATTAACGGTAATTTCTCACTAGTCTCTTCAGTCTGGAAAATGTATAGCCTTTTTAATACCTTTTGTTGACTAAGGCTTCAAAGCTGGCGAGTTCTTCAAGAGCCGAATCGTAAACAACGCCGCTGGTTATTAAAATGCATAGATGAATCACTTTAATTATGATTTGTAATTAAAATTTCTTAAAAAATCAATTTGGTTAGTTTACCTAGCTTTGTATTTCGTGTCGCCGACTATTTTTATTTAGTTCTGTATTGAATTTACTGCATTATAATTATTTAAGTCAAACATTGCACGTGTTGAGCTCCTTATATTTTATAACTTGTACAAATATCGTTATTTTTTTCTGGTTCTTGACTGTAAAAGCTGACTTTCATTTAAAAATAGGTTCCGCTGTTAGACAAATATTTACGGTAGCACCATGTGACAAATCTCTTCTGTGAGTTTTTGAGGTTCTGAAATGAACCGGGGGAAACTCAACGTTTCGGGCAGTATACTCTGCCGTCTTCAAAAAGTTTCTGTCGTCTCCAAAAGTTTTTAAAAAGGCCCAAATAGGCGATTTTTGAAATCGATATACATATACACTGTACTCCTATATGTTGGTCCTCTCATTTGCAATGTGCCAGCTTTGGAATCAACAAAATATATTTATAAAAGAGATTGAAAGTCGTGAAATCTGCAGTCTCAGCAACACTTGTTACTTGCAGTAGAACACGTATGAGATTATTGAGTGGTTAAATATACATCAGCACTTTTATGGAGAAGAGCATGGGTTCGATTCTCCACAGCCATCTTTTTGCAGTTTTCCTGTTGGCTTTCAGAAATTAAAATGCATGAAACCTCTCTCTATGATATCCAAAACTTCATTTATTATTTCTTGTCCACAGCTGTGGTTGCTAAGCTCGGACACTCTACTTCTAACCAGCGATGCCTCGCCGGTTGGTTACTCTGATGCCCGTTTCCATGGTTACCAACATCAGAGAGCCTGCGACGTCTCAAATGCGGCCCAGTGTAGTTGCGGTGAATGTGGCTGTATAGGAGACTCTGAGATTAAAAGGCAAGCTGTTGACGCACATAGGATTGTCAAGGTGCTGTACCAAACATCATGGGACGAGGAAGGAAAACGGTAAGTCTTTCTCTTGCAACCCTCAGAGTCGTCTTCTCATATTGCTAGTTCCAGAGAGTCAGTCTTTGATGTCCTCTTGTTAGGGATGCGGTTGAGGCCAGAACAAGTCCAGTCACAGGTAAATCAGGAGCCCATTCACAAGTCCAGTCACAAGTAACAGTGGATGAATAATAACAAATGAATGCCTTTGTCACTGCTCATTTAAGATGAATTGGGATTGGAGGACTCGTAACGGACTTGTGTTGGTCTCGACTATACCCTTGTCGTCTTCTCTTTTTGCTGGGGGGAGAGGGCCAGATAGTGTCCTCTTGCTACCTATCTCACTGACCGACTGACTGATTTGATTAGCTTGTGAGTTGAATTGGGACTGGAGGACGTGATGGACCTACAGGGACTTGTGATGGACTTGACTACCTCCCTGTCGTCTTCTTTCATTTTGCTGGTCCTAGAGGGCCAGCTTGTGTCCACTTGCTTCCTATCTCAATTGCTGAGTGACTTGCTGACTGATTTGAATAGCTTGTGAGTTGAATTGGGACTGGAGGACGTGATGGACTTGCAGGGACTTGTGATGGACTTGACTACATCCCTTTTGTCTTCTTTTCTTTTTGCTGGTCGAAGAGGGCCAGATAGTGTCCTCTTGCTACCTATCTCACTGACCGACTGATTTGATTAGCTTCTAAGTTGAATTGGGACTGGAGGACGTGATGGACTTGCAGGGACTTGTGATGGTCTTGACTACATCCCTGTCGTCTTCTTTTCATTTCGCTGGTCCCAGACCAGCTTGTGTCCTCTTGTTACCTATTTCACTGACTGACCGACTGACTGACTGAACCAGTTACAAATAGTATCTTCGCATGACAAGTAACCTGGTAATAAATTTTGCTCATCGAATATTCTCCTTAAGCAAAATTCTGTGTTTAGCCAGTCCATGAACTTGGCCGTTGGTCTTTGCTGAACCACTGACAGTTGCTAATCAATATTTTCTGAAGCCATTTAAAGCAAGATATGAGACGGATGGGACTCCTTTACCCGTTGTTGTGTTGATCATTATGTTCCCTGAATCTCTGGAATATTTGAGATATCTAGGGGGTGTGTAAGGTGCCAATAGTCGACGGTGTGTATAGGGTATAAAGACACGGGTACCCTACTTACTCCGTATCACGGTATAGCTGAAGCAGGTCAATGACAATTTTGCGTGTTATAAATGTTGAAGGAGTGGCGCCCTAAGCATTTACACATAATCGTCTCGGTATCATATTACAAGTCGAAGCGGTGATGAATGCCCAGCGAGAAAGCTTTAAGTACTGATGATCCCCACCGTACGGTAATATAACAGAGCAATCAATGTCCAGCCGTTTAGTGTAATAAGACGTTGCTCCTCGAGTGGAGAAGAACGGGCATTTTTGTCTCGATGAAGCAAGCATGTCGACCTTGCCTGGAACTGTGACTGGCATCACCTGACCGGGGGAAATTCCTTGCCTGACAGTGGCCATTGTGTGCACCTGCTGTGAATCTGAAAGGCTAAATTGCAGCTCTGCGTATAGGCATCAAGTCTTCCTTGTCGAGTGGCTGCGATGATTAAATTGGATTCATAATGCATATAATGTAAGAGGCCCTGTAGAGTACTGAAATGGGATGAGCAATCTTGAATGTATGTGATTTTGGCAAGAATGGGTTATTTGCATATTGACTACCCACTTTGCGGGAATTTTCCTAAGTGTAAGTTGTGTTTACTGTTCAGACAATCGTTTGTAGTAAGGTATATTGTCTATAGGATTGCCACAATATTATAGCTATACCAAGTATGTTATATCGATACATGTGCGTATCAGTCAAAAGCCTTCAGACAGGACATATTCCTCTGTTAAAACATTATTAAACTGCAAACACAACACCGTGATTTGTACCCTTTTGTGTTAATCAGCTACAATGTATTTGAAAAGTTAATGTTCTTTGACCAGAGTAATTGATGTTGTATAGCACGCGGTGAACTACGGCAGAAACGTGAAAGTTTTAATATCAATGTTGTCCTGAGTTGACGAAGTGCGTCGCGACGTCCCGCCAGATAGTTGAGTTCCTTTAAGGTATATATAATCATATTGCATTTATCCCAAAGTAATCTACCGAATTAGTAGATTCCTTTTAAAAACGCTAACTTGGATCACAGATTGTACTGGTACTAAACACCCCGTGAAATTATTCCGTCTGGCTTGCTGTCATTTAGAAGAAATCAAGAATTGTTGGTGATTTCCAACGATCAGTCAATCGACTGACTTTCTTAAAGAGTGCTATCGACGATATCGCGTTTCGTGATCAAAAGGTTGTGCATGGTTTTTCACTGTTTCCTCGAAAAGTGTAATATCCACTGAGCGGAAACTTAACAGGTTAGGTTTTGCACATTCTTCTTTGGATTTTGAGTGGTGTTATTATTGCAAACGAACACATTCATGAAAATCAAATTATGTCCCCGTATTGGAGGTGCGCTTTCTGCACGTATGTAGTGCAACGGATTGTGTTATATCAGTATCTGATTTGCTTTCCCCGCAACCACATTCAGACTTTCCTCTTTAGCCTCATTAAAGTGAAATTTCTCAGGGAAAAATCAGAGAAAACTCAGGGAATTTTGTTGTTATAACGTGCTGGGAGCCGGCCCTGACAAAGCAGTGCACTTAATAATTACAAGAAAACTTACAGGCAAAGTTTAAGCGTAGGCCATTAGTGTGTTAGTGAGTGCACTTTTCGATTCAATTGTGATGAAGCCATCCAACTATTACCATTTCGTTGAAAACGCATTAGAGCCTTAAAAAAACGGCATGCACATTATGTTCTCCAAGATGAAAGTGCTCACTTGATGTATTGCCATAAAAGTGATCTCAGGACATTGATGCATTCTCGCCTGCAGCAGTAATTTCATGCAAGCAGACCCCGAGGATGTCACGGCAATGGATTTCTGTTGCATCTCCTCGGATTCCATTACATTCTGACAGTGATGAATAACACTGCCGCATTTTTCTTGTTTCTTGGGGGAGCATTTTCGACTCGTGAGAAATAATGTTCGGCGAGAGCCGCCCAGCGAAATGTAGGCCAACAAGTAGGACATTTGCGCAGCGGAGGGCTGAGTACTCATGGTCTGGAGCATCGAATTCAAGATCTGTAGGGTAGCTCTGCCGATTGAGGGTTCGAGTCCAACCTGTGGGGCTTGGTGTATGTGTCCTTGGGCAAGACACTTTATCGCTACTTCTCCCAACCAAGGAGTAACGTGGATAGTAGTACCTGTGAGGGCAGATATTGTTAATTTGTTATTATGCTTAAAACCAGTAGCGTGTCATCTTTTTAATTCCAGATTTAAAAGATCATGTTTTAAAGCCAGATTGTGTGGTGATGTATTATTTAATAATAATATATAATAATTGTCTAGCATCACATTAGTTATGAGCTTTCCAATGAGACATCTCACGAAAAAAAATCGGCCGACAAGTAGTCAATTAATTTATTTCAACTTTTGAATTAAGAGCGGGACGCTCCTAATTCGTTTTGAGTGGTATGCACAATTTCGGAACTGGAGCGCGCCATTTTAAAACCACTTTTTAAAACTGTATAAAGGCCTGCAAAAACACAAACAAGCAAAAGTTGTTACAGGTGATTGTATTCCATTAAATTTCGTTCGGAAAAGAAAATCGAAATCTTGAAAAAAAACACGTGTAGGCCTATACCAACTTTAACCGACATATTATTTTAAAATAAAATGATAAAATTGTTTTGTTTTTTTGCTTAGGTTGCATGCTCAGTGGAGTAAAGACCTGTCCATCATGTGTATACCACTGCCCAAAGCTACGTGTTTAGAACTGATGTTACTGTTAGCTACTAGTCATCAACATACACCGGCCTCAATGAGGAACATGAATGGTTTCAAGGTAAGAACACCAGCATAGGCTATACCTTCAACAACAGAATTTATAAAAGGTAGAAACATTTAAAAAACAGAATAAAGCCAGACCAGGTGCGCCTAATAAAATTTGTTCCAGAGCACACAAAATTATATTCGTTTGACACAGAAAGAATATTTACGTGTTCATGCATCTGGTCTACACAATGGGCCAGATGTAGCCCCTTCACTTGCGTAACGTGTAATCCTATACGATAGCACTGCCCGGCTCTCTTCACCACTCTCTGACTTCTGCAAGTCAGTCAGTCAGTCAGTCATTGAGACAGGAAGAATCGGGACACTAAGCGTGCCCCTTTTGGCGAACAAGACAAAAAATGGTCATTTCCAAAGATGTGTCACACCTCTTTGGAACTTCATGTGGTGGTTTGCTCAGATTGGTTCTCAGTCTCGTTTTCACGATGAAGTGGCTGGGAACCAGTCTAGTGGTTGTGTAGCGGTGTATTATACCGCTCCATGTGAAAAACAAAGAAGATTGCATCGAATTTTATTAAGTTTAATACTCAAAAAGTATATTATCCTTGGAGATATTTATTACTAGTTCGTCAACATTCTTCGACTTTTTTTGAGCTGTTGATAGTGAAAGCAGATAAAGAAATGTCTGCAAATCATCCTATTGACCTTTCATACAAGAATTGTGCTTCGTCCAGAAGCTAAGATGCGTTCAGCAGACTTATGATATCGTTGGGCTGCCAATCTAGGTTGGCTTCATCTTCGACAATAATGTTGTTCTCGATTTTATTTCAACTTAGCTCAACCTCCACTTGATACACATTCCAACTCAATCAAATACCCCAAATGCACGTTTCGTTTTCCCAAAGGTGCTATGCATTTCCGAGAAGCAACTTTCGAAGATGTCAAATAAAATACACATACACGTGGCTCAACTTTCGATTCTGTGCATATTTTTAATTGTGCATTAAAAGAATTCTCCAAATTCCTCATACCAAAATGTCAGTGTTACAGACCCATCAAATGACAGGTTATGTTTGCACCTGTGGTAAAACCCACAAAACAAGAGCGTGTAATTAGACACATTATCGGACGGACAGGTGCAGTCTCTATGTGATGAAGATTCACCCAAGTGTTCACGTTGCCCACGACTGTTGCATGACTGCTTCATTTGTAGTGTCCTCACACCGATGACCGCTGGTATGAATAAGGAGAACATTATTTACAGGGATAGAAGTGTTTTCTTATTTTGAGAAATGTTTTTTTCCTTCCTGATCCTTGCATGAAGAGCTGTTCCGGCAAGCTGAGCTATATATAACCTTGTGGAAGATGTATCAGGCTAGCCTAGTGTCTTATCTACATGTATCTCACTTGTGGCTAACACGTGCACTGGTTAAAGGCTGGTCAATATGGCAGTGCTATCGTATAGGATTTCCGGAGTACCATGTCTGGTCTTGTTGTCTTGTTGCAATACTGCCGAACACCCCGAAATATAGGGGCCAACCGAGCAGGGTTCGGTGTGCTCGGTGAAAATGCGGAGAGAGTGATTGAAGTTTTTTTTCTTGTCTTGGATTGTAGTGACGGTTTCATGTAACGCCAATGAATGGGCTAAAATGGCCCTTGTGTATACCTGACTTCTATACTTTCTAGTGGATACCCAAATAGAATTTTGTGACCAGCTTTCTTAGGCATGTCTGTTCCTGTTTCCTCATTGTTGCACGAAGCACTGTTCTGGGCCGAATTTCATGTCTCTGCTTACCGTTAGCAAACAAATCACTGCTTACTGTAGCATTAAGTTGTGTGCTTACAGTAAGCATATTTTACGGGTAACGACGAATGTGAGCATGCGTATATCCCTTAACTAGGGATTCTGTGCTTACAGGGTTAGCGCAGAATGTTTCTGCTAGCGTGGTGACATAGAGTGGTGATCGTAAGCGCAGGATGCGCTCTGGTAAACAGAGCCATGAAATTGATCCCTGGTTGCTGAGCTAGACAACTTTGCTGGAGTTTCGAAAACCTGATTTGACTCGATTCAGGCGAGAATAGAGCCCGTTCGGAAATGGTGTACATGGATTGCAATGTTTATGGTTCGAGTCCCACCAGTTTCTCGTGATACACAGTTAGCTCAGAGCAGTGTGTATTTACCTGCAATCGGAAACCCCCTATTGTCCCTTTACTCTTTTGTTTGTACTTTGTAGGGGGCAATCGTCAATTGTGGACCTCCGGGAACCCTATTGTCCTCTATTGTTTAACATCCCCTATTAAATGCAGAAATAAACTCATTTATTCTGGTAACTAAGATATTTTGTTGTAATGTTTATTGGCAATGCTATGGATGCCACGCGAGTCATTTGTGTGAACTGCTGCAAATTTAGGATGACATGCAACAGCCGTCGGAAATGTTTCCCAAGACAAAGTGAAGATGTTTGTGCACTATGAGGCTGCGGGTTTCTACGCCTCTTCGTGACTATCCAGCATTCCAGAGGCTGCAATTAAGCTGCAATTAAGCTTATCATTCATTTCCACGTCCACTGGCTGGGAAGTCATTCTATCACAGTGTTTCAAGTCCGGAGTAACCGAGAGGTTCTTTATCTTCATTCCCATCATCACTTGTATCATTCCGACTTGACACCTTTGGACTGTGGTCAGAAGCATTGACCTCTAGGCTAACTGGACTGGCTGCTAATTGGCCAATGGGCCTTGAAGCATACCATCCGCCATCTTGGATTCCCCAAAAAAGAAAATTCAAGCTTGGATGTTGGCCAGTCCTAGAAATAGGATTGTTTGCATGTAAATCTCAAAAGCCGGTCAGGAAAAACAATTCTTGTTTCCGCCACAATAGCTTTACAGAAGAAATCATATACGAACTACCCGTAACAAAAAAAAATCGTTTACTGCGCGTGCGTCATGGGGGCCCCAAGATGGTGGCGGCTGCTTCAGCCAGTCCAGTTAGTATTAACATGGTATTAAGGTCAGTGTATCCTTTCTCAACTGCTGTCAGAGTCATTCACGTGTGATTGTAGGCCTGACATTTTGACTACGGAAATGTTAGAATAACACTAAACAGTGCTGTGCCCGCATGATAAAATAAATATTTCAAAGTAATAACGATAACCTAAAATAGAAAAAAAATCTGTCATGTTATGAACCGTCATTACTTGATGATCATTAGGTGCGTCCATTGGTTCTATCTGTCATTTTTGGATTAATTTACACGCAGCTATTTCATTTAGGGTGTTGATGGAAATGCAAATCCCAACTGTAGATTTGGCAGTTACACCTGAAATTAATATAAGTATTGTTCCACCAAGAGTTAACTGGAAAACAATCAGACGTACACCGAGCTGACACTGTTGTAGTCCGTTCGATGTAACATTGATTACTATTGGTCAAATAGGACTGTAGGTTTCAACATTATAATTATGTAACGATGGAAGTGAACATCCAAAACACTTTTCGAAGACCTAGCCCCTTATAAAAATGGTTGCATTTTCGTAATGATGCGTACGATCAGACGCACTGTGATCAAGGCGACTCCTTCAGTTATCTCCGGGCTATCACATTTCGGGCAGGGTAAAAACTTGGAAGAGACAACGAAAGAAAAATGAAAACTAACAGCGCATTCTAGTTGATGGCGAAAAGCAGCAGGGAGTTGCATTTTTCTGCCGGTCCAAACTGCAAACAATCCGGGCCTCCCCACCGTCGGCGGCACGCTCCAGCAACGGCCCATTAAAACACCTCGCCACGGGTAGCCAACGTCTTTAATTAGGAGCTGAAAAAGATCCATGTTTTCTTTTACGCGGCGTTTCATGCCTGCGAGAGGAGCGGTAGTTGTTTGGACTGCTGGTCGGCCGGCCTTGTGTGGGGTCCCGTCGCCTCATTCTCCCCGCGTGCCTCAAGTTGTTCAACCCTGGCACTGGTGATTATTGAAAGTGCGTCATGCATTGATTAGACGGCGGCAGAGCCGCTTTTCTCAACTCCTTATTAGTTGGGTAGGTCTCTTCCCATGTGCTTATATGGCTTTGGCTTGTACTTCCAACTTTCGATTTCAATTCCTGAAAGACTTTACATTCGAGAAATGAGCCTTTTTTAATTTGAGATCTTCCTTCCATCGGCAGTGCCTCGGTGCTTTGTCTGAAACTTTACACTGGGTGTTCTAATGGGAACATATTTAGGAACAAATTAAAGCTACAGTCCATCTTTTGTAGCTATCCAAAAAGTAACTGACGTAATTATTATTGAAAAGCATACTTGGTTTAAAGATAGTAATGGGACTAACCTCCCTGTGAAATTATTCTTTCTGGTCTTTTTGCAGAAATCAATGAAAGAAGGCCATCTCCAACGATGCGTCTAAAGACGCTTTCTTGGAAAATTCCGTTGATAGTTCGTTTTTAATTCGGCGAAGCGCGCGCAAGCGTTGACACGACGCACACGCGCGCGTGGTTGCTTTAATTCGTCGGATCAGTGCGCGACATCGCGTAGCTGCAATCGGCTCAGTGAGAACGTGTATCGGACGCTGAAATCAGACCCAATTCAGAACATGACTCAGCAACTTTTGATTTGAAATCGAGATCGTAAAATATTGTTTTCTCGGAATATACAGCATTCACTGAGCTGAAAGTTCATCAGGTTAGTTGTTCAGCACCCTTCTTTAGTATTTGAGCATTTTTGTTGCTTCAAACGAACATAATGCACGAAATGATGGACGCTACCTTTAATACAGCACAATGAGAACATATTTGATAATGAGTTCAACCAAATGGAAAAACTATCTTGCATTTTTTTTCCATCGTGAAAGTGTTTGAATCTTTGGAATTCTTTTCTTGGCCTGTCATATCCCATTCACTGGCGTTAAGGGGTACCCTATACGATAGCACTGCTTGGTTCACACATATACATGTAGTCAGTCAGTCATTGACTCAGTCAGTCAGTCAGTCGTGAGATAGGTACCAAGAGGACAATAGTTTGTCCGGCCGACGAGCGAAAATTGAAATCATGCGCACATGCACGAGAGCATTCATTCATGATATAACCAACAACAACAACATTGACTTATATTAAATAAAACCAATTAATATACATGGACGCGGGCGTGATGTTTTCCTCATTTTCCTCTCAGGCGCTCTGCGGAAAGACACGATTCTCAAATCTTCAGATCAATTTACCGTGATCCCCTTTAACTATTTTTATTTCGTGACATGATAGAGACATGAGATAGGCACAGAAAAACTGATTGATCTGCCTTCGTGGTCTACCTGACATAATTACTTGTGGACATAATTTCTAGCACGAGTTGATTTACTGAGACATTGTTTAGTATAGAAATAATTTAACCTAATTCTGCTTTCCACACATGTTTATGGTTCGATTTATCTGTGGTATTAATGTGACCATGAAATGATTTTTTTCCGAGAAACACTTTTTGGGTAATTGTATTCAAAAGTGCACTTCTTTAAACAATAACATTTAAAATCGTCCATGCTTTTCCGGACAGCTGAGGGCGCTGTTGCTGTTATGTCATTTCAGGAAGACCGTGTTAAGTTTAGATATTTTCTGTTTGAATGTGAACCAAACAAATCTGCTCATTATAAAAAAAACATTTGTGAAAAAAGTTTGCTCCTTGGCCTACTGCTATGTACTGAAACAACAACAGATCACCAAAGCAAACTATCCGAAATTCTGGTTATTTTTGTGCTGAAATAGCTGCAACATAGAGGTTTCTGCCTGAAATAACATCACACTTTTGTTAATGAATATGAACATTCGCATGAGCATAACAACTATAAAAGGCACCGAATTACTCTTGAAAATGGCAAAACGAAAACTGAAAATAAGGTTAAACGAGACTCAAATGTGCATTTTCAAGGATTGCATTACAACAATTGCATTGCATGGTCCCTTTAAGCAAATAAGTAGGTTACCAGACATCTCAAACAAAAATTCCCTGCAATTACGAGAAAGTGATCTGTTTAGTTCGAAAAAAGAGAGAAATAAAGCACTTGTGATTTTTGTTTTCTGTTTTCTTTTTTTGCAATTTTACAGGTCGGATATCTTCGCTATTGAAGCAGCGGGCGGATTGCATCGTTTTGACTTTTGTTGACATTTAACCTGGTGATTTCAAACAGGTCCTTCTCCATTATCCACATAAATGATGCAGGTAGGAGATCATATAAGAAAAAACGTTTCCTTTAAAACAAATGTGTACCTTCCACCTTAATTTCATTTGGTGGACATTTTCATCATTGTCGTCAGTTTCTTTGGTAGCTGTAGTCTTAACTTTCGGAGCTTACGTGTCAAAGTTTTCGACTTGTTATTATGAAGACTGTAGATTAATCTCAGTGATGAACGATTAAAAATCTTTACAGAACCTGTTTACAAAAGGTTAAAAGGTAGTATCTAAACGGCCTTTGTGGCGTCGTTGTATGGAAAAATCTATATTTTTACCTGATAGGATCGGTTACTTCTTTTAAAGAACCACCTGTATGTCCCACCATAAGAAATTCGCTGGCTGCTCAGGTATAACACTTAAGAAAGTTACCATCATAATTAGGGTTGTGTGAATTCCGCGGAAGATAGTATACACTTTTGCTAACGTGATAAAACCATGTATGAAAAATTGCAACATTGCGGCATACCTATGTCAGCAATGCTCTATCTATTCAGTTGATCGTGCCAAATTCAAATCTAGTTTTTTTGTGATTTCATTCAGATTGAGTATTTTTGGCTCGTTGAAGTTTTTCTTTTCTTCAGATTGTTTTATTTCAAATGGACATTTCTCTTCATCACACGATTACAAGTTGGTTTATTTTAATTGTAGATAGCAAGGTTCACACGTGTACACATTGTCGCTAGACGCGTTTCTTTTTCTTTTCAACGTAACTTTAGTCTTGCCTTTGTGGGCTGCTGACATATATTAAAGTAAAGAGTAAAACAGTTTTCTGTCATAATGTGACTTTTATTTTGTTTTCTGTCTTTTATGTTTTCCTCATCATGGGAAATAAACATTACGTCACTGTAAACGGTGGATACACAAATTCCCAATAAGTGTTCTTTGTGTTGTTTTCTGTTTGTATGTGGTTGCTGTGTTGTTTTTATTTCACAATAATGTGGTACTTATATAGCGCTTTACACTAAGGTTTCAAGGTTCTACAATTATTATCCCTGCTCATCAGGAATGAGACCAATTTTCTGCAGCAGCTCGAGGTGGGCGCAGTTTGGTCTCTACCTTCACAGGTACCCATTTGAACTCCTGGGTTAAGAGAGGCAATCGTAGTAAAGTGTCTTACCCAAGAACAAAAGTACCATGTTCGCTGTCAGGGTTCGAACCCACGTACCACGGCACGTGAGTCGAACACCGGAACCATTGGACCACATCGTCCCACAAGGGGCTAAAAGGTGATTGGAGTACCAATGAACCAGGCAAGGCAAGGTAAAGCTGGCCTCGGACCATTTAGCTCAAGGGGGCACGGTAGCCATACGAGTCGTGTATTTTGGGGGCCATGGTGAGGCTGATGCCAGTCTAATTCACAAGCGACAGTCAGTCAGTTAGTCAGGAAGTCAGTCAGTAAGATATGTACAAAGAGGACTGTAGGCTGGCTCTCTGGAACAAAAGTTTTCGTTACAAAGCGTATATTTCACTTTTTTGGTTCACCGAGAAATATCTAAACAAGGATGTTTAGAAAAACTGCTTAGTGTTTTTTTTGTGCCAGGTGTATGCTTGCACCAGCTTTTCCGTAGGTCCTTTTTAGCTGTCCTATAATTTGATTAAAATTGATTGAAGATTTGTCGGGAAATACCTAGAAATTAAAAGCATTTCATTAGCCTTCAACTCGTGTCTCCCACTCCCACGTTTCTCATGCGTAGTGATGTGCACTAATGGGCAATGTTCTTGTGCTGCATAAATGACAAAAAGCATCTGAATGCTAAATGATCGATGGCATATGGTTAGATTGTAAGTGCTTCGTCCTACGTCTTTCAGAGATAAGATTTGTCTGGATTGTTCCCGATGTCAGGATTTGCGGTCAGGATTTGTTCCCATTTCAGAATGTTGAAAGTATCCATACATGTATTTAAATCTGAAATTCCTGAGGTTTTACTTAACGGTGTCTTTACCAATACAAATAAATACATTACAAAAGTAATTGTAATTTAAGATTGACTTACGGCAAATACAAACTTGCCGTAGAACCTTCATTGCTCTGGGGCCCTCGGCTCCCTGAAAACCTCTACCGATTATTATTTGGATATTTCGTTTTCCCTCAATCGCAACCCTGGTTCTTTATTGGACTTCGTACACGGTGTGCGTACGGAGATGACCGGTTTCGGTATTCTTCTCGAAGCTAGACTGGTATTGCGTATGTACATGAGCATAGGTAAATGCCATGTACTCTCATACCAAAGTAGCGACACTTGTATCCTAGTGTTTCTTAATGAGTGAATGCAGGTGATTTACAGGAGAACCGTAAAACACTTTGTCTCCGAACACTTTTACGACGACTCACAAAATAATCCGGAACTATCTAAGCATGTTGTTACACAGGGGACCCGCGGTGCTATAGCTATCGGGTACCCGATGCGATCGGGTGGGCCCCGGCTCCGACACGCTCGGTGCCAGTTTGATCGTCCGAATGTTTATCGATGCCTGTAATACATCTTCCATCGGGCATGGAGGGAGGGGGGGGGGGGGGGGGGCTCGCAGCCCTGTGCCTCCCAGCCACGCAGTCTAGTCATTGACTCATTGCGCTAATGGGGGTATTAAAGTACAGCCCGAGCGGGGATTGATTCTACATATAGGAGGCAGAGGGGGGAAAAGTTGCTGTCTTTAAACGGATAGGATTTCTGGTAAATTGTACAAATATTGACTGTAGGTGCATGTCGAGAACATGACTCGCAGCACAAATCAATGTCTGCGCGCGTGTTATTGACTCGCCATATGTACTGTTGGAAAATGAAAGATAAATTGAAGATTTTTTTTAAACGAGCACATCAGGTGTCAATTTATAGTGTTTTTTTTTATCAGACCTGATGACGTAGTTCTTGAAATGTCAGTTTCTTAAAAGAAAAAAAGTTCTTGGCATAAGTCGCGCGCCGAGCATAATTACGATGCGCTACAACTGCTACAGCCCAGCGCAGTTCGTCCGCTATTTCGCATTCCGTTTAGTTTTTCAATTAAACCGTGTACGGTAGTAAATTTGGTGCAGCCAAACAGAATGTACCGTGTTTTTAATTGCAAGAACAAGGCCAACGCATGCAGTCATATCGGAATACAAATACGCTTTCAAGAAACAATTGCATGCCGTGCTGATTTGAAATTCATGGGCACTTTGCAAAGGTTGCTACCTGAATGCAGTAACAACATGTATAACTATAGGCTACGCTGGATGGCTCATTACTGGTTTGAGTGTTTTGTTGTGATGTAGTTAACCTGTAGAATGTATAGGCATGGTAATGGAAGATATGTCTATTTTCTTATACATATTTTTTTTGCCCTGAGCAAGGTTACAAGTCACTCAAGGTACAGGGTTACAAGAGAGATAAAAGGAAGAAACAGGACATATCATAGGTTGGACGGAAACAAGCACCTGGCAAAAGAGGTGCTGCACGTGGAAAAAAGCTATTGGAATAATTTGTTCTACATCTAGGTGTATCAACAGGATATAACTATTATTATTTATTTATTATTTATTCGGCCAAGATTTTATACAAGCAAAAAACATCACAGAGAATCAGACAATGAAACTTTACAGAACATTAAACTAGCGGAACAGGTATAAAAAAGATGAAAACATGAACAAGACGAAGCCAAATTAAGATGGCCAGGATTAATAAGGTGTACTTAAACACTGTGACTCGGAAGCCTACTAATTCAATCTTAAAATAGGACACTGAAATCAATATGGATGAGAACAGGCAGAAAGCCGAGTTAATCTCTCAAACACTCCCAAGTTGCGTGGACGAAGGTGAAACATTGGGCCATATTTCAGCGAATGAGGGTGTGTCACGACGCCATTTTGGGTGTAGGAAAAAACCAGACCTGAATCGAAGGTTATTTGAGTAAGGTGACATTGTGGTGCAATTTTACTTGAACGGTATTCTGTTTTAAGATTGACGTAAATTTAATTAATTGATTCAATAGACGTGATATTTCTACCGTTCGTAGCGGAAATTGGCATCGAGAAAACAGTGGAAAACCATGACCAACCTTTTGATCACGATACACGATATCGTCAATACCACTCCCTCTTTCCAAAATTCAGTAAATTGACTGATCGTTGGAAATCACCTACAATTCTTGGTTTATTCTAAATGATGACAGCAAGCCAGACGGAATAATTTCACGGGGCGTTGTGTACCATTAATAATAATAATAATAACTGTATTTATATAGCGCCTTTTACCAGGGGATACAAAGCGCTGGGGGAGAATGCAACCAAAGACGGGTAAATGAAGTATATGAACATAATTATGAGACCCATTATGTAGCACCTTTTTGCTAGGTGCTGTGGCGCATAATTGCTGCCACTGCCAGAAACACCGGGGCAAACCCCTTCTCTTAGCGACAAGTGTTACTGGGTTCTTTAACGTGCATTACACAACACACGGGACTTACGGCTTTACGTCCCATCCAAAGGACAAAGCAATAATGGTAAAGAGCCTTGCTCAAGAGCACAAGCACCATGTTCCCACGGTCAGGATTCGAACCCATGTACAACGGCACACGAGTCGAACACCGTTACCATTGGACCACAGCACCCCAGTACGATCTGCAATCGAAATCAGCCTTTTGATAATAATTTGGTAGGTTACTTCAATAAATGTACATGGAGAAAGGACAGTTCAAGAAACCCAATTGATGGCAGCACATGCTACGTGAACTGGAATTGTAGTTCAAAAGTCTTGTTTCATCCAAGACCACGGATTATTGTCAAGGCTCAATTTCCAAGGCAGGAGGCTGCGTTAACGAATCTTGGCTCCAAATCACCACATTAATGTACTATGGAAACGAATCTGTCTGCTGTACTAGTCCAGCGATAGAACTGTTTCATCGTGTCCTGCAAAATTTACCGTCAAATATCCGTCCAATTTGGCTGGGAATCTTCGCCAATCTTCTGGCCAAAATCCAACACCGTGAGGTAAAGATGTAACAGATTTAACTCACTGAACTGGGTCACCAAAGCCCATGAAAAGAAATAAAGCGGCTTGGTAAGACCATTCAGAACAATTCCTTGTGAAGTACTGCGAAATTGGGCGTGAGATAACGGTCGATTTGTTTTTATTTATTTATTTCTGGTAATGATAACAAGGATTCCTCAAAAGTACCCTACAGGCACTGTAGCTTGCAAGCCTGAAGAAACATGTAGAGATGAGACCATGAGAAAGATATTACAGTTTTAGAGGTGGGAGGAAAAGCCCAGAAGAATATTCTGGGGAAAACCCACGGAATCAGGTCGACCTATATGGACTGAAAACCCAATTGGCCCAGGCAGGAATCGAACCCAGGTCACAGCGTCGGAAGGCGAGGACAGTAACCACAGCGCCAACCTGACTCCTCCTGAGGGTGTCATGATTTCCTAACTGGTTTTGTGTTGTGCACGCGCCGGCTCTTTGTTGAATGCTTTTAATGTGACTCGATTATGCTAGAAAACGGATCGTTTTATATGCATTACATTATTTATCCCGCTAAGTGTAGCTTACTGGCGTGCTACGGCGCAATTAAGTTCGCTCGATATGCCTAATCCGTTTTTCTCGCTTGTTGTTGTTACACTTGGTCTCACACATCAGTCACCACGCTTCATTTGCGTCCGTATCCCGCCTCGTCCGTAAAAGAAAAAAATAATAAAACAAGCATTTCTTAATTTCTTAGAATGATGAGTCTGCACGCTCGAAACCCCGGCTTCTGTGCGACTTCTGAGGCAGTCATCACGACAAACGCGGGGCGGAGAAAGAGAGATAACAAAATCGATCTCAATTTAGGGAGTCATAAATTAAGGGGCAGGCCTCGATAATGAGACGGGGAGCGCAGGATGGTACCGCGCAGTCAT